AGGTGGCAAGAGTAGGCCGAGAGAAAGTACGTTTATGGAGACACAAAGGTGAATGAGACTGCGGTAACTGCTCGAGGTTATCGAGGGTCCTCATTGAAACAGGACGATGTTTCACTTGCATTCCTCCATTTGATCCTCTAATGCAGTCCACTTGTTGTTACATTCGACCGACAAGCAGTGCTCGTCACACACAGTGAAGACGTTTTGCGTGAGGCCAAGTGATGGAACTTGGGGCGACACTGAGGGTAGGCAGCGTGAGCACTTGCAGAAGTGGTGAGGAGGAAATGGGAAATGTGGCCTGTAATTAGGGGATGGAAGCAGCAGATGTTGTGTCGGAGGCACCACAACCACCACTGATGACCAGGAAGCCCCTCATTTTGCACTGACCACTACCTAAACGAATTTACATGTGCACTAAAATTCTGCTTCAAGAGGCGGTGTTTAGATTAGTTAGCGAGTGTTTGCAAGGCTGTTGTAGAAGATAGGCAAATGAGCAGCAACTTGAAGGACGCTAATTGTTAGCCGGAGGATCGCCAACTGTTGATTGGACAACTTTTTCTTATTCTTAAAGCCAACTGTCCAACCTTATAAGCAAAAATGTTGGCGTTGAATATGGTGAGACCGCATGCAGTGCGAGCACAACGTAAACATAGCAAAGGACACTCGATCAAGCAATGTTAATGCTTCAAACGTGTGCCGAAAGCGCGTAATCACTTGCCTGCAAGGGTGGTCCTCGAGTCCGCCAAAATTGTAACTCCGTGCTGCCTCCTATGCAGGTTTTTCTGCACACCTCATGTGTCAATGTCATGATGGCGCGAAACGAGGGTGAAATGACAAAATAGTGCAGGAAAATCGTGTGTGTGTGTGTTTGGGTAGGAGTTACCTCTGCCTACGTCCGTCCTGAGAGTGACGAAAATCGCACGCCAAAAATAAATTTTTTTTTGCCTACAGCCAAAAAGAAGATTCAGTCCTCCCTTTTTGAGCCTAAATTTTGACATTTTTTTGTCTCGACCTCTTGTCACATGTGTCATGCGGCAACGTGACACACCTTTTTGCTCCTCGTATGTGGCACTTGGCTTTGTGCGTAGGCGCAGTGAATTACTGCTTTTGACTACCTTTTTGTTGGTGTTATACTTGAATTTGCTATTCGATTTCTCATGATTGTGTAGTGTTGTAGAGAGCCAAATACATCGACAAAATCTCGGCAATGTGGATGTAATTTTACCAATGACAAGTTCAACCATGCAACACAGCACATCGTAAAATAAAATGAAGGAAAAAAATTATCTCTTTTAGAAAGACTATGAATAGTAATTAGATTTAACAGATGTGGTGCACATGTAAATTCGTTTTGGTAGTGGTCAGTGCAAAATGAGGGGCTTCCTGGTCATCAGTGGTGGTTGTGGTGGCTCCAACACAACATCTGCTGCTTCCATCCCCTAATTACAGGCCACATTTCCCATTTTCTCCTCACCACTTCTGCAAGTGCTCACGCTGCCTACCCTCAGTGTCGCCCCAAGTTCCATCACTCGGCCTCACGCAAAACGTCTTCACTGTGTGTGACGAGCACTGCTTGTCGGTCGAGTGTAACTTCAAGTGGACTGTATTAGAGGATCAAATGGAGGAATGCAAGTGAAACATCGTCCTGTTTCAGTGAGGACCCTCGATAACCTCGAGCAATTACTGCAGTCTCACTCACCTTTGTATCTCCATAAACGTACTTTCTCTCGGCCTACTCTTGCCACGTGTCAAGTCGTGGGTGTGCACGAGGGAGGTCGGAGGGATTTCATTCATGAATGTCCTCCTTCCAGTGTTGTGTGTTTCATGACCAACGCATTGCAAGTGGTAAAATGTTTAGTGTGCCGTTGCTATATCGTCTATGAGCGACGTCTGAGCACCGCCATTCTCTCCTCTTTACGTCGACCCGCGTCCAACGATGTTCCTGGACAAGTTGCGGGTTCTATGGTGCGTAGTGGAAGGAACGCAACGTCGTCTTCTTTGCCAGTCATCCTTCCCATGCTTGCTGCCTCTCCTAACACCTCATGCCTCTTCGCCAATGCTGCAACTTCCACGACTAGTGAACTGAACCTCCCACCATGCATTACGCCACCCATAAGCAGCCAAAATGAGCTGTGGAAGTTATACAACTACCACCATCAAATTTTACAGGCAAGAAGTTTACATTTCGCTGAATAAGATCCGCTTTACTTTGAACATCTATGCAGCGGATGTTATCGCTTTGCTACTAACGACATCATGGCTGTCTCTTCTTCAACTCCTCCTCTCACCTCTTAAGGTCGCCTTTTGTCAACAATCAACCCTAGTCTCGACTCTCCTGTCATCCTCCATACACATTCCTTCACCTTTAAAGCAACGTTTGCTTCATATCCTCCTTGTTGCACTTGGATGAGAGGGAAACGTGGTCGCAGGGTGTGGAGAGAAGGCTGCAGACTCTCTCACCACTGCCACTCAAGGACTTCACCATTGACTGTTTATTTTTGCTCAAATCAAGTCAATGTCATTGTGCAGTTGGCATTTACCCCAACCAAAGAACTGATCAGCTTTCAGGCTTGACAACGATGCACATTTAACAGAGTTCTCCCACTTCCCTCCCCACTTTTTTGACCACTTCATTGCGTGTGAGGGGAAGAAGGGGTGGGAGAGAAGATGAGTTTGGAAGAAGTGAGTAACTGATTGGTCGAGTCCAATTTACATTCCTTAAGCAATCCAACAGTCCATCCTTGAGGCTGTTTACCGTCTGTTCCCGACACAATGAAAGCGTGAATAACAAAAATGCGTCCAGTGGTCGTGCCGAGGTCATGTTAAATGGTA